AAGTGCACAATTCTCTGAATTTAATTTCTTTGTTATTTTGTTTGCTCTCAGGATCTCCTCAACCATATCACATTTTAACATGAGCCCGGTTTAAATTCTACTGTCACGTGTACTCAAGTACAGAAGTACAATGAAAAGTGTATAATGTCGCCACACAAGGCACCATCTTAGGTACCTGGGTACAAAAAATGTAGGTATAAAGTAGTAAGAGAAACAGAGTTAAAAAGTTAAGCATTACTTTCATAGAATAAGTTGAAAAATAAAGAAATAAGGTAATAGTTAACACTAAAGCCCTTATTGTAAACTAAAAAAATAAAGGAATTAGGTTAAAAGTTCAGCAGTCTTTGATGAGTCCTCTGCTTATCTCGCTGTTTAGGACAGCGCAGCTGTTTGTTCTCAAAGCCACTGCAGATACCGGAGACACTCCCTCATCGCTCGCTATTTCCACATTGGGCTGCGATGCCATTGCTGCAACTATTGCTGAAACTGCCCCCTCCCCAATCTCCCCCTGGTGCCTCTGGAACATGCCTGGGCAGGACCCACTCGCACGCCAAGCTGGGAGGCTGCCATGAGGACCGGGCCAAGACACTACCACAGGTGTCTAGCTGGGTTCACGCTGAGGTCAGGAAGGAACACCCAGAGAGAAAGGGGGAAAAAAAAACAGACAAAAGAAGGGTAAGAAATGAGAAAGAAATGGATGGAGCAAACGAGCTCGGGCTGAAGCATCTTACTCCATCACCATCTCGGATGATTTAAGTCACTTATGTTCAGCCTTGAATGGCATCTTGGCACAGCCTGGCATTTTCTGCTGGAACCCACTAGTCCTTCTCCAGGCACAGCTCTCAGAGATGCAGATGAGTTGAGAAGCTGACCGAGTGTGTATCTTCCAAATTTCCTCAGGCCCTCACTCCCAAAGCCACTTAACTGGGCATGGGAAAATTCAGTCCCACGTTTGAGGTCTGTTTACCTGTTGTCAGAACTGCTACATTTCCTTTGATGTGCCGAAGTGAATTTTGAGAGCTTTTAAGACATCAGTTGAAATCAATTTCCTCGAAAATGGAAAACCTGACAGGAGCTGCATCTCCTGAAATGACTAGGAGACCAATTTATTCCAGAGTAAAATAGGGATGTTTTCAATTTGATGATATCACCAGAAAAAGCATTTTTAAAAATAGATATCAAAAGGTTAAAAGACTGCTGCGAAACTTGTGTATACCTCAGCGAGCACTTGATTCATTCTCAGAAAGACAGATGTAATACTGTTTCTGAAGTGGACTGTGCCTGTTTAATAACTGCCCAAAGATGATTTTGGATGCCTATGTCTCACTGTGCCTTAACTAGCATATTTGAATCTCTTTGTAAAGGCCCAGCTTATTTTGCCCAATTCTCGGCATTTAGACATTAAGTCTTTATATAAAGAGTGCACTGACATAGAGGAACAAAAAACAGTGTTGTTTTGACAATCCTGCCACAATGGGTGAGTGGTGAACAGCTTATTACCATCTGTGACTTGAGCTTTGGAGAATACAATTAAGTTTTCATGCCTTTTTAAAAAAATTTACAGTAGTCTAGTTGGACTGGATCCTGAACACAGGCAACGTGTGTTTGATTTTTAAAAAATCTAGCAGGGAAATACTTACAGATTGCAGAAAACACAAAATATTGGCTATCTGCGAATAATAAGGGCAAAGCTGGAAACACACAGCAGGTCAATTGGCATATATGCAGAACAGTCAGTGTGGAGCTGGAGGAACACAGGAGGTCAGATAGCATCAGAGAAGTAGGAAAGTCAATGTTTCGGGTCAGGACCTTTCTTCAGAACTGGGGAGGGGGAGGGGAGCTGGAAAATAAATAGAGGGAGGAGGGATGGGACTGGTGATATGTAGATGCAGGTGGGGATTGATCAGTGGGAGGGATGGGGTGGATAGATGGGAGAGAAGATGGACAGGTTGTGTCGGGTCAAGGAGACGAGAGGGAGGATGGGTGGGGCTGGGGAGAGGTAGGTGGGATGGTGATGGATGCAGGTAGGGGGTCGTGGGTATTGGTCAATGGGAAGGGTGGGGTGGATAGGTAGGAAGGAAAATGGATGGGTTGTGTCAGGTCAAGGAGGTAAGGTGGGGCTGGAATGATAGGTGGATGCCGATGACCCATCCATCTTCTTCCCCACCAACCAATTCCCACTACTTGCTAACTACATCCACCTATCACCGTCCAACCTAATTTCCCTCAGCCCCACCCCTCTTTCCTCTATTTATTTCCCAGTTCCACCACCAACACCCCCCCTTCCCAATTCTGAAGAAGGGTCCCGACCTGAAACATCAACTTTTCTGCTCCTCTGATGCTGCCTGACCTGCTGTGTTCCTCCAGCTCCACACTGTGTTATCTCTGACTCCAGCATCGGCAGTTCTTGGTATCTTCTGCAGAACAGTCAGTCAGTGTTTTGATATTGTACGACTTACTATTCTGTATGTTTGATCCCTGAAAATGCAGTAAGGATTTCTATGCATTAGGAGTGATATACATGTTTTGTCTGAAGGTTCAACTCAATGTTTCTGGTTGTGTAAGCTCTTCTCTTTTAAGCTGTAACCTTGAACTGAAATGTCAACCTGTGTTGCACCTAACGAAATGGGTTTTACTCTGGGACCTGGAGGCAGCGCTCCACCATCAAGATACAGTACATCATCCGCAGGATAGAACATGCTCGGTTTGTTTTTAATGATCCAGAACTGTAGGATAATCCGCTCTGAACACAAACAGGGTGGCTTGCATAGCAACAAGAGCTTCAGGCAACATTGCTTCTTGATATAGTTCAAAGACACAAGGCCACAATATTACTGAACTAAGGAATGTCCTTTAAAAGCAGGTTATGTAGACAGTGGGAGCTGTACTTTAATTGCAGGTCCACTTTCACAGTTTGTACGAATGATGGTTTTCAAAGTGCCTTGAGTGGCCCAAGACTCAGTGCAAACAAGATGACTTAAACAGGCTGTATACCATTGGGTACAAGTGTTTCAACTGCTTAGTTCACTGGTTGCTGAAACAACATAGCTATCTCTGATCACAAGTGACTTTTGGGCTCAGCTTCCCAAAGGCTGAATGGGCTGAAAATGTCCCCTTCAAATTATAAGATGTTAATCTTGTAACCAGATCACATTTACATAGCTGGTTCACCACTGGCGCAAGTTGTAGCCCAGGCATGTGATACACAATCACTGGATCAAGCTATTAGCTTGTTCCACCTATTGCATACTATATTTGACAGAAGAGTGCTAGTTACTGCAACCATCTATTAAAATTAATTAGTAAGTTTTCACCATGTTATCAATTTTTGTAAATAATGACATTTTTTCATTCAAGGAACTTAAATCTAGCTATCAATTCACAATAGCTACTGATCTAAAGCCATCCTTATTTGAATGGCTAGGAAATTACTACATGGAAAACAGACTGTTAGTTTGAATCAGTCAGCACTAGGTTCGGTCATAGTTCAATTGGTCGCACTTTAGCCTCTAAATCAGAAAGTCAATTGATTCTTGTCCAGGATGCAAATGTCTTATCTGATACAATGCTGTACTAATGGAGAGCTGCATTAGTAGAGGTGCTTTCTTTGTTAAACTGAAATCCTGCCTAATCTCTTAGATGATTGCAAAAGATCACATGCAATTATTTTGAAGAAGAACAGGTTATGCGTGGTATCTTGGTCAATATTTATCACTTAACCAACAGAATGAAAACAGAATATCTGGTCCTTATCTCCTTCCTGTTCATGGGAATTTGCTGTGTGACTTGGCTTCAGTCTTTTCTCCATTTCAACTCTGGCTGCACTTTAAATGTACTTGATTGGATATAAAACACTTTGGGAGATTCTGAAAGATCACAAAAGGTGCTTTATAAATGCAAGTTCTTCCTACCTTATTGGCATCTAACCGACAATGTGGAAAATCACTGAGGCATGTCCTGTTATCAAAAAGCTAAACAATTCCAACTCAGCCAATTATTGTCCCGACGGTCTACTCTCATTCATCAGCAAAATGATGGAAGAGGTCATCAACTGCACTATCAAGAAGGACTTTTAAAGTAATAAATAAATAAAGTAATAAATATCTCACTGACACTTGTTAATGACAAGAGACTCTTCTAGTTAGACCAAGTAGTAGTCTTCCTCTAATGTCCTCAACTAAGCTGGGTCCAAAGTTTCCTAAACTTAGAGAGTTTGGTGGTAGCAGTAGCTCATATAGTGTAGGAAGTTGGCATGTTCATACAACAAGTTCATCAAGTTCCAAGTGGGACAATAATCAGCAAGACTTGGCCATCTGCCCTGGCCCCTCCCAGTTTCTTTCACTCCAACTCAGGTGATGTCCTACTCTTGAAGGTCCTCCTTTAAATGTATTTCTAGTTTTTCTTTGGCAAGCTTTTCCTTCCTGTTGGTGTCTATTCAACTGCTATTCTGATTAGGGCATATATCCAAAATATGAAAAATGTATGCAGCCATCGTCAGTCATTTCTTTATCACAGTGTCCCCATAGTTGCCTCTGGCCAATTCTGTGTAATACTTTCTCATTGTCTCTCCAAGAGATGCCCAGGATCTTGCTTAGGCAATGCTAGTGTAATATGTTCAACTAATATGATGCGTTTTCTGTTCTCTTCCATGCCTCAGTGGAATAGTTTGCAGTTGATGCTGCAATAAATTGTAGAGTCATAGCTTTGTCTCCATGTTTATGGTGACTTACAGCTATCATGAACAGAAGCTCAATAATTTCCCTCTATGGCATGTTAAGGGTATATCCCTTTAAAAATATATGAATGCAGCAGTACTCTCAGAGGCAGGGCTACCAGGTGTGTGGATACAAATCGAACAGGAGGAAAACTGTTGCACATTGGATGCTGATCAAGTTGTCTTGTGGGGAGGGGTGTGCGGCAGGGAAGTGGGGTTGTTAACTAAGCTGGCTAGATGGCTGCTTTGCAATGTAGAGTAAGACCAACAATGCAGGTTTAGTTAGTTCCCATACCAGCTGAGATTGCCATGAAGGTCCCTCCAATATAATACAATACAATACAGCACAGGAACAGGTTCTTCAGCCCACCAAGCTTGAACTGATTCCTCATCCTTATTTAGATTCACCACTTATTGTCTATGCACAATGTCTATCCCTCTATTTGCCTGACGTTCATGTGTCTATTAAGATACATCTTAAATGTTGCTAACGTGCCTGCTTCCACCATCTCCACTGGCTGTGTGTTCCAGGCACCCATCATCCTCTGTGAAAAACATTCCCTGCACTTCTTCCCTAAACTTGCGCCTTAGCACCCTCAACCTGTGCCCTCTTGTAGTTGACATTTCCATCCTGGGAAAAAGTTTCTGACTAGCCACCCTAACTATGCCTCCCATAATTTTGTAGACCTCTATCAGGTCGCCCCTCAGCTTCCGTCTTTCCAGTGAAAACAATCTGAGTTTATCCAACCTCTCCTCATAACTAAAACCCTCCAGACGGGCAACATCCTGGTTAACCTTTCCTGCACTATCTCCAAAGCACCCATGTCCTGCTGGTAGTTTGGCGACCAGAACTGCACGCAATATTCGAAATGTGGCCTATGTAAAGTTTTGTACAGCTGTAACATAACTTGCCAATTTCCCCTGTCATCCAAGGTTCCCGAACCCTGCTGTTCCTGTCCTTCATTTTCACAAGGACATGCCTGTCCTGCACTCTAATCAATAGGTCTTAGAAAGACTCCCACATGTCAGATGTGGATTTACCCTCAAACAATGGCTTCCAATCCACATTCCCCAATTCTTACCTTATTCAAGTATAGCTGGCCTTTCCGCACCCCCTATTTAACACCATCATCAGAGGTTCACTCTTGTCCTTATCTATAAGTGTCTGAAAACTTATGGAATAATGGCTACTATTCCCAAAATGTTCCCCTAATGAAACGTTGATCATGGCCTGGCTCATTTCCCAATACCACATTCAATGTGGTCCCCTCCCTCATTGGACGATCCACATACTGTTTCAAAAAGTCATCCTGGATGCACCGACCAAATTGTTCCCCATCCAAACCATGGCACTAAGGGAGTCCCAGTCAATATGGAGGAAGTTAAGATCACCCACCACAACAACCCTGTTATTTTCACATCTTTCCAGAATCTGACTACATATTTCTTCATGTATCTCCCACTGGCAGCTGGGAAGTCTGTAGTAAAATCCCAGCATTGTAATTGCACCCTTCCTATTCCTGAGCTCTACCCTTAATGCCTCAGTGCAAGATCCCTCCAGGGTGTCCTCACTCAACACGGCTGTGGTATGCTCCCTAACCAGTAATTCAACTCCCCCACCTCTTTTGCTTCCTTCTCTGTCTCTTCTAAAACATCGATATCCCGGAATATTAAACTGTCAATCCTGTCCCACTTTCAACCATGTCTTTGTGTTAGCAACAACATCATAACTGCATGCATTAATCCAGGCTCTAAGTTCATCCTTCTTGCGTGTTGTACTTCTTGCATTGAAGCAAACACAGTCCAAGCTTCCAGTTCAACCTCTCCCTGACTGCTCTTCCTCTTAGCTATGTTTGCCTTCGACTCAACCTGTTCCCCAGTCTCAGTACTCACTAACCTGCTGCTTTCGTTCTCACCCCTCCTTCTCAACCTTTCCCTTCACTTCTGGTGTGATGACTCTCAGTTTGAACTCACAACTGGTCATCCTCTCTAATGAGACAGTAGCCCTATGGTCCTCTGAGACTATGGCAACTTTACTGAGTGGAGGTGTCAAGAATGGTGATGGTAAGTTGGAGTTGGGTGTTGTTAGTGTGTATACAGAAACTGACTCTGGGAGTTGAAATTTTAGGCTGTGCCAAAATTTTCCTAGCCTTCACTTGTAAATATTCCTTTTTCTTACAGCCTTAAATGCATGCACCCCACTAAAAGCACCGCACGCTAAGGAATTACTCATGCCAAGTACTTGTTTTCATTTCTGTTATGATCTATATACCAACACGCCTATTTTGACAGCCTCTTGTACATTCTCATTTCAGCAGTCTTCTTGGGGAAAAGAAAACACCTAAAGCAGATGAAAGATTGAGGTGGAGAAAGCTTTGAAGATGTTTGTTAGGCAGAGACGAGAAAGTCAGCAGGTGACAGCTTCATTGTAGCATTCTGTTTCCCCTCCTGTCATGCAAAACACATATCCTGCCAGCGCATTATCTCATAAAATCCTCATGCTACTCTTCTATCGTGCACTTTTGTTGCTACAGAACTTATTATGACCTCTTTCTTTCTTTTCCTGTTTTTTTTAAAAACTCTCTTTGTTTTTCCTGTTCAAGTACTAGAAAGATGCTGAAGGTGACAATGATCTGTAAGGCCACTCTGCTTCTAACTCTAGAACATCACCAACATGCAGCACTATCTCCCTGTTAAGCACCAGCTCAAAGGTATCTGGGATAACCCGGAATTTTGTGATGTAATTTAACACGGTACAGTAAATGCTTGAAGCAGTCTCCCTACTTGCCCTCCTATCTGCTGTGCAGTAAGTGACCGCACCCAGGGAACATTTCTCCATGCACTTCAAAGGTTAAGTTGGAGTTAGAAGTTGTAGAAGAAGTTGCTCTATATATTTTTTTTACTTACCAACCCATCAGCACCTTTTGGTATAAATTCTGATTGCTTGAAATTTGTCATTCCTGCTTTAGGTCTGATGAGTGCAGGACAAATTGCATTCATGACATCTCATTTTAGTTTTCATTCTTTCACAGGATATGGCTATCACTGGCAAGTTTGAATTGATTGCCTATCCATATTGCTATAAGAACCACATCTTTAAGTTTTGTTTATTTTTGGGTTGTGGACCAAAATGGGAAAGAAAGATACTGCTTTAAACTAAGGTAACTGTGAAAGGAGATGTGGCAATATTGAAACAAGTTCCTGAAACTGAGTTATAAATCAGTCATTCATATTTTGCTTGGCTTTGGTTAGAACTGATTTATTTATAATAAATAGTTGTTTCTTGTTAAGAATAAAAACTGGATCAGTTTTCAATTAACCTGACTTCATCAGACAGGAATATTGGGGATTTTGAGTAATTTGATTAAATTTTTAACTTTTGTGATGACTCTGGGGGTAGTGGGGCTTAAGTATTAGCAGACTTTCTCCAGTGGGTTGTGAAACTGCTCTGGTCTATGTGGGTGTAGGTGCACCCAGAGTGCTGTTGGGGAAGGAGTTTCCACGACTTTGATTCAGCAAAAGTGAAGGAATGGCAATACGGTTCCAAGTCAGGACAGTTGAGTTAACCACATTGCTCTGGGTCTGGAGTCACATGTAGGCCAGACCAGGTAAGAATGGCAGTTTCCTTCCCTAAAAGACATCGGTGAACCAGGTGAGATTTTCTGACAATGGATTCATGGTCATCATTAGACTCGTAATTCCAGATTTTTCATTGAATTCAAATTCCACAATCTGCTGTGGTGGGATTCGATCCCAGGTCCCAGAACATTACCTGGGTCTCCAGATTAACAGTCTAGCAATGATATCACTAGGCCACTGACTCCCTAATATGAATGGTACTCGATATACTGGGGGGTCAGGAGACATTAACCTTTGAAGTGCATGGAGAAATGTTCCCTGTGTGCGGTCACTTACTGCACAGCAGATAGGAGGGCAAGTAGGGAGACTGCTTCAAGCATTTACTGTACCGTGTTAAATTACATCACAAAATTCCGGGTTATCCCAGCATATGGTGCCTCTACACGAGTTGACAATACTGATCTCAGCACGGAGATCACAAGAACAGTGAGTTTCTGGCATGGACATGCTTGGAATACGAACTTGCAGAAAACTTTCCCTACCCTATCCAAGAATTTCAGACAACTTTGTTTCAGGAGCATTCTGATTGATTTCAGTCTGCTTTTCCACAAATCAGTGATCATGTGGAGTGTCTGTCCAGTATCAGTAGAATGGTTAGATAATGTTCACATTGTACTGTTCCCTCACCGGTTAGGAGCACAAAAGGCACCCTTTGACCAGCAAAATGTCTGCAATAGCGACGGAAGGAAAGCAGGGCTGGACGAATGCAGCAGCACAAGAGGTATAGCCAGCAGCAATGGACCTCCTCAGAATTCAGCTGCTGAAGGGAAGGAGGGTCATTGCAGTTCCTGCAATGTTCCATTTGAGTAGCACCTGGAAGCAGCAGGATATTAACTTTCAGAACATCTTGGCACCAAGTGGATGCATCATGGTAAGTAAAAATAGCAAGCATGACCAATAACATTTGATAGCAATGATGTTGTACAAATAAATGTTGTTTTTGGCAACGTTTGGAGAGTGGAAGATGTTTAAGTTGAAATGCAGAGAGAGAGGTCTGGTGATATTGTGCAATGTGATGAGGAGTAGATATAGACATGGCCAAAAGCATGGTCAAGACAGAGTCACAGATATCTCTTGAGACCAGTAATGGCTTGCCCTCTTTATCACCTTTTCACTGTTGATGGTCTAGCATAAATGTATTGCTTAATGTATTGGTGTCCACTAGATATAGCAATGTTTCCAGAGTCAACTCCGAAGTACACCAATGCATGAAGATTCAGGACAGTGATCTCCTCCACAGTAACATGCATTGCAGCTTGACCAGGGGATGTAGGCTATAGATTGTGTGCAGCATTAATTTTTTTTTGCGAAGCACAGTTGTCATAAATGCAAATCCTGGGCATAGGATTACCTTGTCTATCTCCCCTCAAGTGACACACCTATGCTTTGGCAACATATGTTTCTTGTGTAGACCAAACAAGCTGACCTCCCTGATGAAACTTATGTCAGAAATTTACAGAGTTGATGGCCCCACATCCCTGGCTGAAAATTCGGAGGCAAGCCCATCTCTAAGTCAGTTTGATGACTGTCGGATTTCAAGATGAGAAGTGATTTTCCCCAGGACCAATCTCTGGGATCCCTGCAAAGTGGTTGGGGTCTGTAATTGGTAGAGTTGGGAGGCAATGATGTGAAACAAATGGAGGCAGGATATACTGCTGAGGAGTGGAACACAGAACAGGAGGAAAACCCAACAAAAGGCTACCAGCATTCATCTGCAGACATGTCACATGGCATGGGCAACCATTGCTACAATTAAAATACCGATGGCAGCAGGAGGAGGCCTCTCAGGGGCTAATAATCAGTGGTGGAAGGACTTGGATTGACCCAAGGTGGGCAGCCCATCCATCTCCTCTCCTGCCAGTGCTAAAAGTACTATAGTGACAGGTAGATGATGGCAGCAGTGCTGTCTGTCATGCATAAATTTTAAAGACCTTAATCAACAAGCCACTTCCTGAGATTGTAGTATGGTCGTGTCAGTGAACGTCAACAACCTCTATTAAGTATATACACCTGTTACAGGGGATGGCAATAAGAAGACACCTTGGAACTCTGCACACTTGTGTTCCAGTTCCAAGTGATCTTGTCATCATGACATAGCTCCTTCCATATATGCTTAGTAGCTATTGGTAAATTATAAGTTTGTTAACATTTTCTTCACAGGCTAATTCCAATCATAGATACATAGGAATTCCAAATGGATCTCCCATTGTGGACTCTTCAGAATAAGAATAAGTTGAAGCTTCAAAAGATAGATTGCAGCAGTGATCCGTGAGGAAAAATGAACAAAAAAAAGTGGAAAGAAAATGCTGTGGAGAAATAATTATAATATCCCCATTTGTAATGTACATTTATGTCCCTTTAAATTTCATTCTGCCTTGAAGGTAATCTCTAGCAACATTGGCCTCTTGGTTTTTCCAGATGTCAGCTATCTTCAGTGTTATTGAGACAATGGAACATGAAACATAATATAAAGTGGAAAGCAGGATGCATAAAATACTGTTTTATGCCAACTAATTTAAATACATTGTTCCACATTTGGCTTGGTGAAATTTAGGCCGGACGAAGATGAAGACTCCCATTTCTGATATAATGAAGGAAATGCATCAATTGGGACTGCAGTTGGTGAAAACATAAGGGTTGTGTGTCTGTGACTTCCACCTTGAAGCTATTTTTCAACATTCATTTGGCTCTTGTAGTTTTATATCAAGATTGTACCTACACAAAGGTAATAATGAATACAAACTTATATTAGAATGAAATTTGGTGCTAAAATGCCTTGCTGGTCGAAATTTGCATTTTTAAAAAGGTAGGGTTCTGATGTTCAATGTTGTTTATATCCATTTTCCAGGTGATAAATGAATGAATTATAATGATGAGGCCTGAGGACAAATTTAGGATATTTCTTGGGCTGTTTGGATCTGACATGGTTGAGTTTGCCCTATATGTGCCTCTGTATTTGTAACCGCTTCAAGTCCGTTACCCGGAAAACGTTGTTCATTAAGATATCAAGACATCTGTCCTATAATAACTGGTTTCAGGTGCATTGAGATGTATTAACACTGCCAGAAAGTGCAGCAGTACTGCACTTGACTGAGCATATTTCAGGCTTCTCATGTGACTGTTCCGTATGGTTGCTTTATTCTGTATGTCATATTGTGTTAACCACAGCTCGAACAAAGAAAAGCCACAAGACATCTGAACTTCCTTTTGGCATTTAGCTTTGTGATGATCAAAATTATAATTTTACTTGATTATCTCAACAGCACAGATAAAACTGTCTTGGGCAATACACCCTTTTTTAAATTTGGTACCATCTTGATGAAAAGTGAATAGTGATTGGTTTTGTTATTAACTGTGAAACTGTGATTACAAGGTGAAGATAAATAATTTTATGATTTTATGATCTTATGATCCTCAAGGGTAATGGAAGCTGATTTGATGGGAACTTGCAAAACGGAAATTGGATGTTGATTTCAAAGAGCCAACTTAGGCATAATGGACTGAATAGACAGAACCATTTTATGATTCTATGATGGTGTATTCAGGAGCAAATTTACCTCAGAAACACCAGCTTGGAAGACTGAATAGTTGGCATGAATGGAGGAAATTTCTCTTCCTGGTAATATTCTGGAGAGTCAAAAAAGTGTAAAATCTACATCCCACATCCCCACTGAACTGAGATGAATTTCAAATTAGCACATTAAATATTCAAATATCAGTACCACAGTTTCATTTCAGGATCTAATGTTTCAGTTGCCGCACAACCACAATTCCTAGCAGTGGAAAATTGGGTAGTCTAAACAGGAAGATGATAACAAGATGAAAACTTGGAAAAAGGAAAAGAGAAATAATTAATTTTAAAGGCACCATCTTATATAATGCTCTCATTCTTTTATTGCATGGTCTTCGTTATTTCCTGCAGACTGCAGGGTAAACCACAAAAATCAGCTGTGTTAGATAATGTTTCAGGTTTCAAAAAGCATTCATCTTGCTGCATTCCATGGATATATCCCACTGGTTCTTCACTGAGAGCATTCCTGGATCCCAGTGACATTTTTGTTGAAGCAGGCTAGCTTTTTTGTCTGTTCTTTCACAGGATGTGGGTATCACGGCTAGTCCAGCATTTATTGTCCATCCCTGAATGCATTTGAGAAGACGCTGGTGAGCTGCCTTTTTGAACTGCTGTGGGACCTGCATTGTAGGTACCTTGACAATGCTCTTCAGGAGGGAATTCCAGGATTTTGACTCAGTGGCCATGAAGGAACAGTGATATAATTCCAAGTCAGGATGATGTGTCACTTGGAGGGGAACTTGCAGGTGGTGGCGTACACATGCCTTTACCACCCTTGTCTTTCCAGACGGTTGAGGTCGCAGGTTTGGAAGGTGTTGCTGAAGGAGCTTTGGTGAGATGCTGCAATGCATCTTGTAGATGGTATACACTGCAGTCACTGTACATTCAAAGTGGACAGGGTACCGTTCAAGCAGGCTGCTTTGTCCTGGAAAGCTGCAGTGAGTGTTTATGAAGGGACGGTCAAGGGAATAAATGAGTAATGGCAGCACTTCTCATAATGTTTGTTACCAATGTTCCCTGCAATGCTTTTTTGCCACTGCGTGGACCTCCTAGGTCCATGCATAACAACAGCAACTTCCGGAAGTGGAAGACATTTATGGACATGCTGATCAACCAAAATAGTATAGTGGACAGTGAAGAAGATTATCTCAGACTACCATAGGACCTTGATCAGATGGGCCAAGGAGTGGCAGACGGTGTAGTTTAGATAAATGTGAGGTTGCATTCTGGTAAGGGGAACCAGGGCAGGACTTATACAGTTAATGGTAGGCCCAAGGAAGTGTTGGCAAACAAAGAGACCTACGGATGCAGGTGCATAGATTCTTGAAAGTGGAGGCGCAGGTAAAAATGAAAAGCTTCAAAAGTCACCAAACTCCAGCGCCATTTTGAATAACCTAAAAAAAAACTGAAAGAGAGTCCAACTTTGTTCTTTATCCACTGCTCTGCTGCCGTCACCAACACTAATCTTGCTCTGGGCCCATAAAACCACCACTGCCTCATTGCCCTGTCGACAGGATTCCCTACAGCCACAACCTTGCTGCCAGAGCCCTGCTCAGCGATCACTGCAGTGACTGCCTTGCCACCAATGCAGTCCCGAAGAGGACTCTCAACACTGCCACTGATGAAGCCACCACTTCACCACTGCCAGACCTCAGGCCCACAATGCTGCCGCTGCTAAAGTTGCCTCTGAAGCCACCAAGAGTCTTGTGTCAGACCCTGTCGAAACTGCCTTGCTACGTCAATCCTCCTCCCACCTTCCTCCTCGATGCTGTCACAGCTGATGTTGCCATGACTGGGCTCTTCACCAGAAGATAAGTATTAAAAAAAGAGGAAAAATGAGAAAACAAGAAGAGAAAAAGGAAAGTGGATAGAGTGGATGAGCCCCAAGGCATAGGGGCCCAAATTCTGCCTACTCCACTGCTGCCATCTTGGTTATCAGGAGGACAAGGTAGTGAAGAAGGCATTTCGCACGCTTACCTTCCTTAGTCAAAACATTGAGTAAAGGAGTTGTGATGTCATGTTGAGGCCATACAGGACATTGGTGAAGCCACTTTTGGAACACTGCGTATAATTCTGGTCGCCCTTCTCTAGGAAGGACGTTCTTAAACTTGACAGGGTGCAGAAAAGATTTAAAAGAATGTTTCCTGGACTGGAGGGATTGAACTGTAGGGAGAGGCTGAATAGGCTGGGGCTTTCTTTACCTGGAGCGTCAAAGACCGAGGGCTGACCTTTATAGAGGTTTATAAAATCATGGCAGACATGGATTGGGTGAATAACCAAGGTTGTTTTCCTGGAGTGTGAGAGTCCAAAATGAAAGGACATAGGTTTAAGGTGAGAGGAGCAAGATTTCAAAAGGACCTGATGGGTAACTTTTTCACGGACAGTGTGGTGTGTGTATGGTAGTGAGCTGCCAGAGGAAGTGTTGGAGGTGGGTACAATTATAACATTTAAAAGGCATCTGGATAGGTATATGAATTGGATAGGTTTAGAGGGATATGAGCCAAATGCTGGGAAATGGGATGAGCTCAGATTGGGACGTGTGGTCAGCAAGGATGAGTTGGACCAAAGGGTCTGCTTCAGTGCTGTTTGAGTCTATTTGTGGAGCTTTCCAGGGGCAGAAACATTGCCTGGGATCATTGAAATCCACAAGGGTGTCAGCAGCATGCTTAAATTAAATTTCATATAATAGTGGTCAGTATTTCCAGTGAAACAATAAAAATGTTCGTTTGAAACATTGTGAGTCAACCTCCACAGTTTAATCACAGCCAGTTCATTGGGAACACGCAGAAGTGAATTTGAGGCATCAGAGGGAGCACATAAGCCCCCAAACAATCATTTCCCCAGTCCTTCAAGCAGCACCTGCCCCATGTGTGGCAGAGACAGCAAAGTACAGATTGGGTTTACCAATCAACGCTAAAACCAATAAACCAGAGTTGAAGAGATTGATTCTTGATCCAAAGAACTAATGAACAGCCTCAGCTGTTGGTGCAACAGAATTCTGTTTGTCTATATAATTGGATAGATTCCATAGCACTTCAATTAACACAGAAACAACTGATTATAAAGCTGCAGCTTATAACTTTATGATCCAACCTGTGAACTCTTTCTAATGAATGGGAATGTTTCAATGTGAAGCTGGACTCTGCCAGGGGACCATCTAAAGCCTTGCGTTACTTGACAATGCAATTTGCTATGGCTTTGGTGCTGCCTCTGGTATTCTCAGTGAAAACCATTTGCAGGAGTCTGACTTCTTCCAGTGGCAGTAGTATCTCAAGTGACAACATTTTCATCAAAGTACCTCTGCTATCAGCAGCAGAACAGCAGAAAGTCCTTTATTTAGATAACATTTTATCACAGCTCTCAAACATTTCACGCTGAATTACTTTGGCTGTTGTAAAAGATAAATGCTGTAGAAATGAAACCTCTCAAAACAAATGGAGTTTGAACTAAACACCTAACTAAAAGCATTCAAATTCTAGGCTGAGCCAACATTTGTGTCATCGTTCTTGGGGAGTTGGGGTGTGCCATGTTATCACTTGTGACTTTTTTCGGAGTGGGTGGGGAAGAGGGGATTGGTCCCTTTCATATCAATACTAGTTAATTTTCTATGATCAGTCCTTTTGATTTGAAATGTAAAGCACAAAAAGACACCATTTGGCTTGTTGTTCCTCTGCTGACTTTTTGAAAGAGTTGTTTAAGTTTAGTTAAAAATTTAGTTCCATACTTCAACACTTTTTCCCCAATACCTGAAAATTAGTATGTTTCCATTGATGGTACTTGGTGTGATTTGTAAGTGTTAGACCGCCCTGTACTTTTGATAAGGTATAATAGTGTCAAGTCAATGATCAAATAAGTAGAAAAAAAGCATGTTTTACAGTTAAAGAAAGAGAGCAATATCATTGAAAGGAAAGCCTAACAAAATTAGTCTTGCTTCATGATGAGAAAATAGCTTAACTTTTTTCAGGTTGGAGTTCAGAGTATTGATATAATTGGGTTGTGATAAATTCAGATTTCAGGATCAGATTTGGCTTTGAGAATCCAACATTTGGGTTTGAAGCTCAAGTCAGGGTAAGAAGATAAATGTAGCAACAACAATTGCAAAAACCATCCTTACTCATCTTGCACATATGCATGGTAGAATCTTAGGAGGGAAATAAAATGTTGGCCTTTATTTCAAAGGTAATAGAGTATTAAAATACTCTATAAAAATTTATTCAAAGCTCTAGTCAGACCACAGCTGAAAAACTGCGAACATTTTGTGACACTTATCTAAAGAAAAATATACTAGCATTGGAAGCAGCCCAGAGAAAGTTCTCTAGGCCAACATCAGGTATGGAGGGTCTGTCTTTATGAGGAGAGATTAAGAAGTTGGGCCCATATTCATTGGAATTTAGAATAATTAGAGGTGACCTTATTGGAACACACTGATTCTTAGGAGACCTTTTGTCAGGGCAGATGCAGAAAGGTTGTTTACCCTTGTGGAAAAGGCTAGAGCCAGAAGGCATAATCTCAAAGTAAGGGGGCACAAATTTAAAACAGAGGTAAAGAGGAATTTCTTCTTTTAGATGATAGTCATACCTATGAAATTCCTTAAAGCAGAGATGGTATCATTGAGTACATTCAGGGCTGAAATAGATTTTTAATCATTAATCAAAGGATATGGGGAAAAGGCAGGGAAGTGGAAATGAGGATTATCAGATCAGCCATGATCTCATTGAATGACAGAGCAGACTCGAAGGGCTAAATGGCTCATTTCTGCCCCCACGTCCTATGGTCTTACTCTGTGAGAAAAATTTACAAGAAATTGGGACAGAATTTAACGTAAAAATAACTGAGCTAATAGTGTTCACAACTAGTTATGCATGGAACAGCAAGTGTCTGTGTAGAATTAAAAATGGATATGTCTTGCTCAAGATGTGTCACATCACTGCTCTTTAATTGTGTGACAATAGTTTCTCATTGTTTGGCTCCTTATTCAAACACACTGAAAGGTGTGAAATTTCTGTAGAGATGTTGTAGATATGGATTAGACTCACCACAGAACTTGTGCTTAAGTAACATTTTTAACTCTTAATTACAGCCAAACAACTTCTGTGGCACTGAAAATTAGTTATTACAAATAAGGTACCTTTGTCTATCAGCATTTAATTATTTT